TTTCGCCAAATGCGGTGCCGTTTTCGCCAGAGAAATTGGTGACGTTTTGCTGAGGTGCCGTTTTAGGATGCACCCTTTTGAAAGAATTCCATTCATCTTGGTTGTATCTATTACTTGCATTCTTGACATGAATGTATGATCATTATTCTAAGGTATAACCCCAGGGAGATTAATATTGTTTGTTTCAAGCAAATTGAAATAGTACTGAAAATAGAATGTTGTTCTTGAATGTGCTTATGTTTGAAAAACATAACCAGTATATCCCAACAAATATTTAGGTTAACTTAGTACATGTAGTATGTGTATGTGTAAGTAGTGTGTATCTTTTAGGAAGTAATTTTAAAAAAGCCCCAGGTTGTAGCCTTTTCAGACCTGTAGCATGGATATGTAACATTAGACATCTTAATTAATTTAACAAAAAGTGGAAGAAGAAATATGTTTTCTTCACAGTGATTGATTAAAATTCATCACATATTTCAAAGACCTGTGGACCTTTTATAATGTTGATGATCCAATACACCGCCATGTAGTGCTGGTTCAGGACAAGAGTACTACAGTATCATCCAATTATTCCAGATTTAAAACAAAGTAATCCGATTCATTATGCAAATAAGTTTTATTACATTTCATGGGTAATCAACAAGCAAAAGTAATGGTTTCAACAAAACGACATGCAGTTCATGTTATCATCAACACATCATGTACACTTGCATTGTTGTTTACACTCAGCTATATTCAAGGTAAATAAGGGTGATCTATATATAATTGATATGACCTTTATAATATATCAAGTGTATTGTGTTCTCAGGAACAAAGCATGAAAGAAACATAATATCAAAAGATTGAACATATCATAAAGCATCATAGATAAAAACTGTCATGATCAAGACAGGACTACATGAACACATTTGTACACGCATATGCAGAAGACATATTGACATTTGCACAATGTTTACCCCACGTTCAAACCTAGCTAGGTGGTAAAGATCCATACTGAAATCGTCCCCTTGGTTATATTGTGGTGATTTGTAAGATTTATCTCTAGGTTTAAAACTAGCTAGTTGCGTACTAGATCCACCAGGTGTCAATGCATGTGATAAAATCAGTGATGATTCTCCACATCCACATGTTTGTAGAATAATACAACTGAGTATTAATGTTCATAGATCAATTCCTGGACTTCAGTTAAATACTAGCATGATACTTGCTCTGTATAGAACATCATATAGCAACGAAACATTGCTATGGACAGCATTGAAAGCATAATAATTGTCAAGTTGTACATTGAAATAGACAATTGTAACGTTTCATCATTTTGCATGTAAGAAGAAAACAATACAGCAATAAGACTTACAAGATCACACCACACAAGGGATGTCACAATTTACATTTTGATGTCATGTGTCTGTATCTATGTGTATGTTTACACCTGTTGTTAGGATACACAATAACCTATGGATGTATTGTTTCATGTTTTAATTCTGCATAAAAAATTCACATGGATGGTTTTTACATTTTTAATATCGGCCTGATATCTGCTCTGGCTATAAAAAAATGATCACCGTTTCACAAACACCTGATATCATCACTATTTGATGGTGATTCATGAACACATGCTTATGGTATACCCAGAAACATTAAATGAACACTGCTTTTAGTAAAGTTTATGGAATGATTTGTCACTTTTATTTACATACATACCAGGTTGTAGTATAGTACATGTGCTAATTTCATCGTCTTCAACACCCCTTTATGGGATTCACTCCACCGTCGAAAATACAATGTGGAGTGACCCTGAGGTGTTTTAGACTTGAAAATAGCTTCAACACCCCTTAATGGGACCCACTCCACCGTCGAAAATACAATGTGGAGGGGCCCTGAGGTGTGAAATAACCACGACAAAATCAATTCCAGTTTCATAAGAAATCTCCACTAAAAGTAGGGTCTAATTTGTGTTTCTCACCATATCAGAAGCATCTGTTTATGATTTACTGTCAAATAGTTACGAAACCACTTGTTCCTGAATACATGAGTGCATCCTTTCTTTCCAGCGTACAACTTATATCAAGTTGTTGCAAATGTAAAATACTACTTCTTGAATATTGGATACAGTTAAAACATAAATTGATACATCGATAGGTTATTGTGTGTCCTATCATCAGGTTTATACATATAGATACATCAGTGAATTGTGACATCCCTTGTGTACAGGTACATGATGCACACAGGGAATATTAAATGGTCAGTCCACAATGAACAACCAAGGGCCATGATTATACACTGTAATATTTCTCCATGCCATTATGGTAAAATACCACTTCTCCATCAGTTTCATCAGTAACTTTAAACTGTAAGTGTGCTTTTATTCTACACATATTCAAACAAACCTATGGCAATGAATCTGTCTTGGTTTTTATCAAATTAGAATGAGTGACATGTAGTACATAGAATAATTGAGAAAATGCCATAAGCTGATATGAATTTCTTTTCTTTTAACTCCGTTAAAGTATATACATGCTAAAATCTATACATAGAAATAACATATACACAGAAAAAGAAATATATATTAACAGTATACAAAACAAAGGTCATTATTTATAAATATAGATGATAATAATATGTCAGTGTCTTTCATTTAACAAAATTTACAAATTGATTTAGATTAGCACTTTTCAGATATACATGTTTATAATTCTTCAATATATATACATAATATGTACAGTGCACCTCATGTACATATGATATTATATACAAAATAAATAAGCATGTGCAATAACTTGACAAAATATCAGTGTCTTTTCAATCAATAAAATGGCATCCATTATTTCATCAAGTAGAATCAATGTACTTTTCAACAGCAATAATCCTTGAAAAATCAGAAGTTGGCCTCAGGTCCACATTCGTTATAATACAAGTAGAGTCCATTCATATTTTGTAGAAGATGCTTTCGCAATAGCAGTCACAAAGATCGATACAGGTCTATAATTATGATAAATACAGGTACAATTCATTTGTTTATATGTTGTTTAATGCAGCACTCAGCAATATTCCAGCTATATGATGGCAGTCTATGAATAATCAAGTCTGGACCAGACAGTCCTGTGATTGACATCATGAGCATCGATCCACACAATTGTGATACAATGACATGCATCAACCAAGACGGTGAGTCTGACCATCCGATCCCGATAGTTGCTTCTTACCACAAGCATAATCGCCTTTTGTGGCAAGTATGGGTTGCTTAAGACCTATTCTACCCCGGATATTCAGAGGTCAGAACAAATCATGCATCTTTTATGTAAAGTTGCTGCTTTCACAGCTACAAAAGTCATTATTTATAAATACAGATGATAATAATATGTCAGTGTCTTTCATTTAACAAGATTTACAAATAGATTTAAATTAGCACTTTTCAGATACATGTTTATATTTCTTCAATATATATACATAATATGTACAGTGTACCTCATCTACATATGAAATTATACACAAAATAATTGAGCAGTGAAATAGTTTGACATGAACTATATTCTGACAGATATTTCTTTTCTTTTAGATCAGCTAAAGTATATACATGCTAAAATCTATACATAGAAATAACATATACACAGGAAAAGAAATATATATTAACAGTATACAAAACACACACACACTCACTCAACAAAATAACAATTTGGTATTTTGTATGTCGGACTAAGGCCTATAATTATGATAATAAAGAACAAGTCTTTCATGTTTTGTAGAAACTGCTTTTGCAACAAAATTCATTATTTATAAATACAGATGATAATAATATGTCAGTGTCTTTCATTTCACAAGATTTACAAATTGATTTAAATTAGCACTTTTCAGATACATGTTAATGTTTTTCAATATATATACATAATATGTACAGTGCACCTCATGTACATATGAAATTATACACAAGATAATTGAGCATGTGCCACAACTTGACATGAACTAAATTATAAATATCAGTGACTTTTTCAATCTATAAAATGACATCCATTGCCCATCATTTCATCAAGTAGGATCAATGTTATTTTCAACAATTATATTCCTTGTAAAATAAGAAGTTAACCTCAGATCCATATTCATGATAATCTATTCATATTTTGTAGAAGAAGCTTTTACAACAAAAGTAACACAGATAAATACAGGTCTAATTATGATAATACAGGTACAATTCATGTGTTTGTTTATTGTTTAACGCAGCACTCAGCAATGTTTCAGCTATAAGATGGCAGTCTATAAATAACCAAGTCTGGACCAAACATACCAGTGATTGACATCATGAGCCTTCATCCACCCAATTGTGAAACGATGACATGCATCAACCATTGGCGAGCCTGACCACCCGATCCCGGTAGTCACTTCTTTAGGGGTTTGTACAATTCATGCTCATTTTGTGAAAGTTGCTACTTTCACAATAAAAGTCTGATAGGTGCAATAACATACCATTTCATCAAGTAGAATCAATGTAATTTTCAACAATTATATTCCTTGTAAAATAAGAAGTTGGTCTCAGGTCCACATTCATGATAATTCAAGTAGAGTCCATTCATATTTTGTACAAGATGCTTTTACAACAAAAGTCACAAAGATTAAAACAGGTCTAATTATGATAATACATGTACAGTTCATGTGTTTGATTATTGTTTAACGCAGCACTCAGCAATGTTTCAGCTATATGATGGCAGTCTATAAATAACCAAGTCTGGACCAGACAATCCAGTGATTGACATCATGAGCGTTGATCCACCCAACTGTGATACTCACCCATCGGCGAGCCTGACCACCCGATCCAGGTAGTCACTTCTTCAGGCGTTTGTACAATTCATGCTTAAAATCAGATAGGTGCAATACCAGGCCAGTGTCTTTTGTTGAAACGAGATTTACAAATTTGATAAACGAGATTTACAAATTTGATAAAATAGGCACTTTTCAAATGATGACATGGTAAAGATTGTTTTTCATCACTGTTATATTCACAGCTATATTCATAATTTGATTTCAATAGCTTCATGATACCCAAAGTATGTAGGAAGAATCTGAACAGATACATTCTCAAGTCCTTTCACATATACATGGTCAAGAAGCGTTCCACCTTCAGTAGTAGGTTCTGAAACCATCTGTGTAAATCCATTTGATTCCATCATAGTCTGTATTGAAGATGATGACAAGATATTTTCATTGAAATCACCCATGATGATTGATCGACCAGAACGGTTATCAAGTTCCTGAACAAGTTGAAGCATATGCTTTCTGAAAATATCAACTGTGTATGAGCTTGGCCTGTAGATAACAACAACATGAGCTTGTAGTTCCATGACGTACATACACAGATACTCTAAATTAGATACTGGTAACTGAGTAAATTCACATGTTTTGACTTCACTAGAATAAACTCCAACACCACCATGTCTTTGATTTTTCAGTTGCATCAGTATTGGTTCAGATGATTCATAACACTTTGATCTGGGTTTATGATGTAACGTAAATCCATCAAGTTTTGGTTCATCAGCTGGATGTGAATCAGATAACCATGTTTCTGTCAAGCAAATGAAATCAGACTCTAAAAACCTCTTGTCATTCTGCAGATCTTTAATATGTGATTGAAGGCCCTCAATGTTTTGCATAATTAGCGTGCATGTTGGATGACCATCATAGATTCTCTGATTTCTTGTCATGAACTTTGGCATACTAGACACTGCTGCTTCAACCTTTACACTGCTGTATATGACTGATTCTTTGAAATTCTGAATAATAAGACCATCAAGAGAAGATACACGACTTAGTGCTACATAAGCTTGTCCTGCTGCAAATACCTTGTGTAATGAAACAACAGCTTTGTTAACAGTTATCCCTTGTACTTTGTGTATGGTGCAAGCCCAGGCTAGTTTCAGTGGAAATTGTCGTCTAATGCCTCCATTGTTTGAAACAGTTTCTTCTTGTGGCTTAATAGGAGTACTGTTAGGATCTAATTCAGATGCAGTGCCTTCCATTCTTCGTAATTTCTGACCAACATCAATTTTGTCAAACACAATATGTATTTTTGAAGGAAATCTTTCACCATCAGTCAAAGATATGTGGCTTATAGTTCCAAAGACTCCATTCACAAGACCATCTGATGTATCAATATTCTTTGTGATCATCACACGCGCACCAATTGCAACATTGAGACTTTTTTGTAAGACTGAGTTATGAACTTTTCCATGAGGTATTTCTCTCTTTTCAAGTTTCCCTGTTTTTGCATTTCGTGAGAAATCTTGAGCGTCAATACAAATTGGATCTGAGCATTTAGAATGAAGAGCAGCAATATTGTATTCATCAACCTGAGCATTTGTTGCAAAAATGTGAATGCTTTCTGGATCATCTTCACCAGTTTCTTGTTGTTTGAGCATATGTATATCTCTTGTGTCAAGAGGGTCTGACTTTTTTCGTGTTCGTAACCGATTCAGAAGTTGTGCAAATGCAGGGTCCTTTTGTCTCATGATCTCTGTCAATTCTGCAATAGAAAAATTATCATTCCACAGGTCATATCCATTTTTGGCAACATGCAATGGTGTTCCTTTAACGGGTGATAACTGATAAAAGTCTCCAACAGCAATTACAGATACATTTCCAAATGGTGAATAATCAGCAGTTTGTTTGATCTGTCTCAATCTACCATGAATGTATGATAACAGCTTGTGATCAACCATTGATATTTCATCTATGATTAGTATGTGGATACTTTGCAGCTTTGCTCGCAGACTATTGATCTTTTCCTCACCAAGTGGCTGGTATGGCAGTTTTGCATCAATTCCAATTGAGAGTGCACTGTGTATCGTGGAAGCATGTATGTTAAATGCTGCAATACCGGTTGGAGCTACCAAAAGCACAGAGTTATCATCTGGATTATTTTGCATTGGGGCTAGCAGTCTAGTGCATTCATAGCAAATTGCCTTGATCAAATGGCTCTTCCCAGTACCAGCTCCACCAGTCAGAAATAGATTAAATGCATCAGGATTTTTGCCATTCCTTTTATCCAAACACCACTGTCTTATTTTATAGAAAACTTCAGCTTGTTCTTCATTCATTGATCTCAGAATAGTTTCTGCCTCTTGTTTTGACATTGTACTCTGAAGTACCTCTGTTTTTGATAACGTGTTATCCTTCAGTAGCAAATCAGGCATGTTCTTAGCAGTTTCACTTTCACTTTCCTCATCGGTCGTACAAGTGTGTTCAACTTCACATGCTATTCTTTCAGATTCAGTTTCTGGACAGATTTGAGCCCAAGCATCTTCCAATTGACCTGTTTTGTCAAACAATTCCTCTGCTTCATCAATAACATCACCATCTTTCTCAAACATTGCTTTGTTTCTGTCAACAATCTCTTTCACAGTTTCCAAAGGACAGTTCTCAATCTGAACAGCACCAGTTTCATAGAACTCTTCATACGAATTGAATGCGGGTGGTTTTAATTGTGCATCAAATGTGTATGGCAAGAATAACTGCAATATACTGTGATAGTGTTTTTCTGGATTCTTTGTACGTGAAAATCTGGCATATCTGATAACTGCTGCATCAGTCCGAGTACGTTTTTTCACATGACCAAGGCCATTTTGTAATGTTACTACTGGACTACGGCGTTTGTCATCAGAAACATTTGATACTTCAGATTTTGGTAGCACTCTGTATTCTGAGCAAAACGTTGCAAGACACATGTTATCAAACTCGTCACCTTTGGGTCTGCTCTTGTATCGATCAACAATGCTTGTCATCCACATTTCATCTTCATCTAGTTCACCACTCTTTCGTTTGTTCTGCAGTGTTTTAAGAGGCAAACTCATTCTGACAGGGTCTACGGTTGGAATGAACTGTACTTTACGTGATCCTTCCTTCAATCTCAAATTGCAAACTCGAAAGACAGCTTCCTGAGCACTCACTTCTCGATTGTGTAGGTATACAGCACCAAGTTTCTTGAGAGCAGATTTTGCATCAGAGTTATTCTTGTTTGCTTCTGTTTGTGCATGATTCAACAGTAATCCCATTTCTCTTTCTGCCTTTGAGATATATGAAATGATGTAGACAACACAAGAGTAGGCATCAACTATGTACTGAATATCCATGTTCGCATTCCAACATCTGAGCAGATCTGCATTGTACTGATTGACCCATACATCATTGGGATTGCGTTTCATCACAACATTTGTCTTTTTGGATAGAGTATCACATGCTAGTTGAAATATCTCTTGCGAAATACCAATGGCAGAGAACAATGCATCAACTGACTCAAATGTTTGCTCATCATTTGTTAATCCTTGCCAAATCAGTTTCAAAATTCTTTGAGCATCTGGTATGGACATAAATTTCATATTGAAAAGATCTTCACAGCACTGTTTCAAGGTTTTGGGCACAACATCTTTTGGTTTATTGTCAAGACCTCCTGCTCGTGATATGAAAGTTTCATTGCTTGGAGGACGTGGAAAATTGAATCTGCAGGTTGTGCCATTTTTTTTGCATGTCTTTGAATGTCTTTTACTATGTTTTTGTACACTGTTGACAATATCAAACAATTCTTCATCATTCTCAACTGAAGGCATATCACATGTGACATATTTATCAATGAAAGATGTTACTGACTCATCATTATCGTCATCAACCTTTGGAGCATTCTCAACCCAGAAAAGGCAGTGAGTGTGAGGGGAACCACGGTGCTGGAATTCTACACGATAGAAGTAATCTTTTATCTTTCCAATTGGTTCAGCTGGTGACATGATAACCTCTTTCAAGAAGCAATGGAACCTTTGGTCAAACATTCGTGCTGCTGTCACTGGATTTTTCCTTAGTATAGAACATTTTTCAGACCAGTCAAGTTCAGTGGCTTTCCGTGTATCACCTGCTTCTCTGAGTATCGTTTCAATCATTTCTGGCCATCTCATATCAGCTGATGAAAATGAACAAAACCAAGTTGGAATGCCGAGTTGTCTTATCATAGCAAATAAATCTTTCTGAGCAGACTGCCAGTATGGTGGAGTTCCTCTGATAGGTTTCAAGAACTTGTAGCCTTCATCACATTTTAATATCTCTCTCAGAGAATCAGAATCTGTAAGATTTTCAGATGTAACATTTTTACCATGTGACTGTGATCCTTTTCGCATTGCAATGGAAACATTTGACATAACTTGATCAATTTCAGAAAGATACTGTGCATAAAATATGTAGTCAGTGTTTTGAGCAAATCTGCTATCAGCATTCATGAGGCGTGTATGTAGATAACGTGCAATTGTAATTCTCTCTTCACGATCATCATGGAATGTAGGGGACCCTGATGGGAACAGAACTGGAAATGACCTTGCTTCATTGCTTTTGTCTGTCAGTAGTCGAACAGGATTATTTTCTTCAGCAGGTGCAATACAAGTTATCTTTTCAAAATATTGATCCATAACTTCTTGGCCAATATCAAGCGGTTGTAGACATGTATTCATGAGTAATCCATGATCTTTCTCAGACTCTTCATTTTCATTAGTTTGTGTGTTTGAGCTATCCTTTTCAACCTCAGGTAATGTTTCAGTATCAGAATCAATAATTTCATCTTCCTCATCAATAACTGGCAAGGGATTGACCCAATCTGTATTAAAATTCACATCACTGTACCATTTGTTAGTTGTTTGAAGATATTCCAAAGCATTTTTAACATGAGCCTTGTTTACAAACTGGTATTGATAATGGCCTTTGTAAGTAATCTTCCTTTTCAGTTTCACTCTAATCATCTGATCATCTATATCACTTCTCGGTAACATACTTGTGCTTTTCTGAATGTTAGAGGGAACACATACTACAGGTCCGTGTACGCCATGTTGTCCACCTTTTGGTAATGCCATCATTTTCATGAAAGGAATATTCAAGGCAATCAAGTGCTGCTCTAGTTCATTGAGACATTGCAGTTGCATAGGAACAGGGGTCAGTTCAAGGTTGTTAACAACAGCTTCTCCAGGCATTTTACCAGACAAAAGTTTCCTATGACAAGTATAGCAAATCCATAATGTGCCTTCTGGACTATCGACAAATGAACATTGGTCATCACAACTGTCTGAGCACCTGTGTAGGTAATTTTCTGTGATGCATCTCTCAGCAACAGTGGCAATATTACTTCCTTTGTTTTCATACACTGTTCTTTTACATTGTACAACCTGTTTTTTGAAAAGTCTTCGATGACACACTGAGCACACAAATTCTGGACCTTCAGATATGTTTTTGGCAAAGGATTGTGTAACATTTTCCATTATTTTCCTTTCTTTGGTTATTTGCAGAACCCTGGCAGATTGTCTCTCTTTCAAATTAGTTCTGTGTTCACCACTAGCTTTGTATTTGGCAATGCTTGCTGATTTAACAGATTCCCTGTGCTTTGCATCTTTTGCATATTTCTTGATACTGTTAGTTTTTACATTTTCTCTGTGCTTTTCATCCTTTGCATATTTCTCTGTACTGTTGGTTTTTACACTTTCTCTGTGCTTTTCATCGTTTGCATATTTCTCTGTACTGTTGGTTTTTACACTTTCTCTGTGCTTTTCATCGTTTGCATATTTCTCTGTACTGTTGGTTTTTACATTTTCTCTGTGCTTTTCATCGTTTGCATATTTTTCTGTACTGTTGGTTTTTACACTTTCTCTGTGCTTTTCATCGTTTGCATATTTCTCAATACTGTTGTTCTTTTTATTTTCTCTGTGCTTTTCGTCCTTTGCATATTTCTCTGAACTGAGATTTTTTAGAGCCTCCTTGTGCTTTGCATCTTTTCGATACTGCTGACTGCTGTAAGATTTTATATCTTCCTTGTGTTTTGAATCTGTGGCATATTTCTGACTGCTGTACGTTTTAACATCTTCCCTGTGTTTTGAATCAGTGGCATATTTCTGACTGCTGTACGTTTTAACATCTTCCCTGTGTTTTGAATCAGTGGCATATTTCTGACTGCTGTACGTTTTAACATCTTCCTTGTGTTTTGAATCAGTGGCATATTTCTGACTGCTGTACGTTTTAACATCTTCCCTGTGTTTTGAATCTGTGGCATATTTCTGACTGCTGTAAGCTTTTACTGTTTCCTTGTGTTCAGAGACAGTAGCATATTTGTTAGTACTGTATTTTTTGACAAATTCCCTGTGTGCTTCATCATCTTTGTATTTATTTGAACTTTGCAGTTTCTTTCTGTTCTTGAAATCTAGGTCAGTGTTGTACTTTTCATTCTCTTTTGCAAGTCTTCTCTGTTTCACATTCAAATTCAATGTTTCAGAATTATCTTTCTCTAATTCTCTTTTGGCTCTCATATATTCTCTTTTAGCTTTTGCCTGTGCATACTTTCCTTTTGGTTTTTTAGTTGGTCTGTGATCAGGTCTCTTTTCTTTAGAATCAGAACATTTTTGTTTTTTCAAGACTGACTTTCTGTCATTCAGCAAATCTGCAGATAGCTGGTCAGCATTTCTCTTGATATTCATATGTCTCTGACAATATTTGTCTGTACATGAGTTTCTCAAAGCATCTACTGTGTTCACACAAACAACCACTTCATAATGTGATCCACCAACATGATTTAGATATATGCCAGTTCCTGTGTTCACTGTGTCTGAGTTTAACTGCCTGCTTGAATATCTCAGCCATCTGTTATCAGTGTATGTGCATATGTCAGTGCCCAGTAGATTTGCAGCTGCAAGTATTTCAAGTTCTGTAGCCCATGTTCCAACATACCACATTCTGGATTGAGAAATGTACTGTTCAACTGACTCGTAACCTGGTCTTAAGAAGTGATGGAAACTTTGAGCATGTTCTTTTAGATGTGTCACAATAGCCAGTCTGATTTTCCTGTGGTTGTTTTCTTTGCCCGAGATTGCATATGAAAGACTTCTAAAGAAGCAATTGCCATCACCTTCAATGGATACTGTTCTGCATGGTACATCAATTTCTACACCAAATTCATGATCTTGAGACTTTGCTACACATTGGTGTTGAATATCAAGCTTCTTGCATAACTGTTCACATACATTTGATGATACAGGGCAGAATAGCATTGCATGTTGGTCAGTTCCAGTTTCTTTCAAACTACCATCTTGTGAGTTGTCGTCACATTCATCAATATGCATCATGTCATCTTGATCATTCTCATTTGTTTCACATGCCGTATCATCACTTTGGTCAATCTCAATCATATCTAGTCTACCATCATCAGCAATATGCACTACATCATCATTGTCATTGGTATCACTTGCATTTTCAGACTGATTGTCATGTGGCTGTATATCAGTGCTAATTTTCATGCCTGTCATTTCAAATTGTGAGAATGCATTTAAGTTCATTGACCGAGCAAGATTCAAACAGTGTTCATAGACCTGAAGCAGACTTGTGTATTGGATAAGTATGCTAGTGCCATTAGTGACTTGTAATCCTTCAGTGTTCCGGGAATGGGAATCAAACACGTGGTATTTGTTATTTCTTTCTATCACAGCAAATGTTGATCCTCCAAATGTCATAAAAGTAGCATCATGTTGTGAAAATATTGTTTGAAGTGCAGCATCGAGACACATTTGTTGTGGATTATCAACAATTTCTTCAGTATCTTTCATCACAAAGCCACTCAGAGAATCGCCAGACACAAATCTATATTCTTTGCCAAAGAAGTCTACTGTTGGACAAATGTCTGACACAAGAAGGTATGCACTACGACTAGTTGATTGTCTCTGGTTTATAGAATCTACATAAAGTTTGTTTCCTCTACAAAGAACTGTGTCAAGATCATGGCTGTCCCATGTGGAAATGTCTTTAATTTGATTGTACATCATTGCCATTGCACTGTTAGCTACACACTGTCTGCCACTATTTTTTCCAAATCTAGTGTGACCTTGATTGAAAGAACCATGTACAGTCTCATTTGTGTCAATATCAATCATTTCCACACTACCATCCTGTGAGTTGTCTTCGAGTTCATCAATATGTACTACATCATCATTCTCATTGGTATCACTCGCACTGTCAGACCGGTTGTCATGTGGCTCTACATCCTGTGAGTTGTCTTCGAGTTCATCAATATGCACTACATCATCATTGTCATTGGTATCACTCGCACTGTCAGACTGGTTGTCATGTGGCTCTACATCCCGTGAGTTGTCTTCGAGTTCATCAATATGCACTACTTCATCATTCTCATTTGTATCACTCGCATTGTCAGACCGGTTGTCATGTGGCTCTACATCCTGTGAGTTGTCTTCGAGTTCATCAATATGCACAACATCATCATTGTCATTGGTATCACTCGCATTGTCAGACCGGTTGTCATGTGGCTCTACACCAGTGGTAATTCTCATACCTGTCATTTCAAATTGTGAATTTGCATTTAAGTTCATTGACCGAGCAAGATTCAAACAGTGTTCATAGACCTGAAGCAGACTTGTGTATTGAATAAGTATGCTAGTACCATTAGTGACTTGTAATCCTTCAGTGTTCCGGGAATGGGAATCAAACACGTGGTATTTGTTATTTCTTTCTATCACAGCAAATGTTGATCCTCCAAATGTCACAAAAGTAGCATCATGTTGTGAAAATATTGTTTGAAGTGCAGCATCGAGACACATTTGTTGTGGAATATCAACAATTTCTTCAGTATCTTTCATCACAAAGCCAGTCAGAGAATCGCCAGACACAAATCTATATTCTTTGCCAAAGAAGTCTACTGTTGGACAAATGTCTGACACAAGAAGGTATGCACTACGACTAGTTGATTGTCTCTGGTTTATAGAATCTTCATAAAGTTTGTTTCCTCTACAAAGAACTGTGTCAAGATCATAGCTGTCCCATGTGGAAATGTCCTTAATTTGATTGTACATCATTGCCATTGCACTGTTAGCTACACACTGTCTGCCACTGTTTTTTCCAAATCTAGTGTGACCTTGATTGAAAGAACCATGTACAGTCTCATTTGTATCAGTATGATGGTCATTGGTAACAAAATCTTGATCATAACTCTCTGGATCATTGATGTCAGTATCAGGGTCATAGCTCTCAGGATCATTGTTATCACTGACATTGTTCTCATTGGCATATGGGTCTTTTTGAGCATTTTGATCTTTTTGAGCATTGGCATATGAGGCATTGGCATTTAAGGCATTCGCATATGAGGCATTGGCATTTGCATTGGCATTGGCATTGGCATTGGCATACGAGGCATTGGCATATGAGGCATTGGCATTTGAGGCATTTGCATTGGCATATGAGGCATTGGCATTTGAGGCATTGGCATTGGCATATGAGGCATTGGCATTTGAGGCATTGGCATTTAAGGCATTCGCATATGAGGCATTGGCATTGGCATTGGCATAGGAGGCATTGGCATAGGAGGCATTGGGATAGGAGGCATTGGCATATGAGGCATTGGCATTGGCATTGGCATACGAGGCATTGGCATATGAGGCATTGGCATTTGACGCATTGGCATATGAGGCATTGGCATATGAGGCATTGGCATTTAAGGCATTGGCATATGAGGCATTGGCATTTAAGGCATTGGCATATGAGGCATTGGCATTGGCATATGAGGCATTGGCATTTAAGGCATTCGCATATGAGGCATTGGCATTGGCATATGAGGCATTGGCATTGGCATTTGAGGCATTGGCATTGGCATAGGAGGCATTGGGATAGGAGGCATTGGCATTTGAGGCATTGGGATAGGAGGCATTGGCATATGAGGCATTGGCATTTGAGGCATTGGCATTGGAGGCATTGGGATAGGAGGCATTGGCATTTGAGGCATTGGCATTTGAGGCATTGGCATTTGAGTCATTGGCATTTGAGGCATCGGCATCATATGTAGCATTTTGTGTAAGGCAATTTTGTGTAGCACTATTGTATGAGCTTTCAGCGCATGTTTTGTTCGGGTTTTGTTCTGTTGCACATTTATTAACGAGGCCTGCTTCCTCGGTATCATTTTTAGGGAGGTGATACCCCTCCATCTGTTGCAGCATCTTCTTCGGTGGCATCTCTGAAACAGAAAAAAAAGAGGGATAAAATAATTACCCCCCCTCTTAATAAATACCCCCCCCCACCCAAAATAAAGTTAAGACCCATCCCTTTAATAGTTTCATACTGCAAAATCTTCCCTAAACTTAAAAACTCATAGATTATATCTTTTCATATAAAATCCAAAGAAAGAAATACTTCTTTTGTTCAGAACTTAGTTTACGACTGTTGAATCTTACATAAAATATAACTTCACACAGGACTTTCACTCATTATAAGCAAAGGGCCAAATTACACAATACATGTCCAAGGTTTCAATTATTCCAGAGGTACAAATGTAGGGTTTGTTTTCAGATTTACGAGCTTTTAGCTCTAGGCTCCCCACCCTAAAATTATTCCTGAATGTATATTTATGAACTTAATGTACATATCTCCCACACACCCAAAATATACTGTACCTTAGTTGAAAAAGAACTCTTCATTTCCAATAATGGTTGAAGCATTCATAAAATATGATGGAACATTTCTTTTAAAATCTCATCAACAAAAGGAAAGTATTACTTAACCTCAGATACCAAAATTTGATATGCCATGGAAAGTGACCATCACACTAAACATTATAAATAGTAAAGTTATAATTTGTTTCCGGCTACGTTCAAACATTGAATGACTACATTTGACTAGTAGTGAACTCAAGTGAACTGAAAATAATTATATAATACTGAACCTTTACCTCACCACAATTAGTTTTACACCCAGCTAACCAACCAGATTGCAATGATCACATCAGCCTTAGTGTTGACTCAAAGTATGATTACTAGGAACTGATTGATTCAAAATGTCAACATTCCTCAACCCCCATTTTCAACAATCTGTGACTTGGTCTGGTATGGTCAACTCATATATATCTATTATGATCAGTTAATTCTGGTAAAATCAAATGTCTTTTTGAGGGTATCACTGGCAGATAGCAGCATAAAGCAGGAGTTTGAGACAATTACCTTTTCAATCCAAGAATTTTATCTCATTGTATATCAGGATGTCAACAGACCACATAAAGTCAGTATAATATATTAATTTATTCACACATCAAATAAATGAATATTGGTAAGGTTTAAGGGTTGTTTTTCAATGTTATTTTTGTCAGTTGCATTACAAGTACAGAATTGGACAAAATTATTTTTGTGTTAGAAGCCGATGTCAATGTATGTAGCCCAATTCTGAGCACTGCTCTGCTATTCCTGGAATATTGAAAAAGCAGCAGAAAGTCATTCTCACTCTGTCGACGATGAACGCATTTTATTTTATTTATTGTGTTTTTAGATCGTGTTTTTAGATCGTGTATGAGTCCAAACAATAATTTCCGTGATTCGCTGTGTAGAGTTGCATCCCTTGGCATGCCAGAAACCTATAATTAAGTTCGAATCCCAGTTCGTGGGTTTCACCGAAGTGTTAAACAGTAAAGACCTGCATCACTTCAGGCTTTCCTCCCACATTCAGCTGACACGCCATGGTATAACTGGAATACTGTTAAAAGCAGTGTTAAACCCAACTCACTCCACATCACATCAATGGTACAAAAATGACATAACACTGTTTACGTAAGTCTTTACTGTGACAATCTTACAAAATAGGTCAGATCTTCCATCAATTCAGCCTTTGATTCATTGTAGTTAGCATTCAGCAATGTTGCAGCTATATGAAGGCAGTCTGCATATAAATTAGACCAGGCAATCCAGTGATTGGTATTGTTAACAAACAATCCACATCCTCTTGCATGGTAGGTCTTGACGATTCATCGTTGTTTGATGCCACTCAGCAATGTTGCAGCTATAGGAAGGCAGTCTGCATATAAATTAGACCAGGCAATCCAGTGATTGGTTTTTGTTAACAAACAATCCACATCCTCTTGCATGGTAGGTCTTGACGATTCATCGTTGTTTGATGCCACTCAGCAATGTTGCAGCTATATGAAGGCAGTCTGCATATAAACTGGACCAAATAATCCAGTGATTGGTATTGTTAACAACAATCCACATCCTCTTGCATGGTAGGTCTTGACGATTCATCGTTGATTCATGCCAATCAGCAATGTTGCAGCTATATGATGGCAGTCTCCAAATAATTCAGCGATATTGCAGCTAGATGGTAGCATATAAATATTCAAAATGTAGAAATTGACACAACACATTGTTTTCTCTACCTTTATATTTCATAAGAACTAAATAATACCACCCTCAGCAATGTTGCAGCTATATTGGACCAGACAATCCAGTGATTGGTAATGTTAACAACAATCCACATCCTCTTGCATGGTAGGTCTTGACGATTCATCGTTGTTTAATGCCACTCAGCAATGTTGCAGCTATATAAAGGCAGTCTGCATATAAACTGGACCAGACAATCCAGTGATTGGTATTGTTAACAACAATCCACATCCTCTTGCTTGGTAGGTCTTGACGATTCATCGTTGTTTGATGCCACTCAGCAATGTTGCAGCTATATGAAGGCAGTCTGCATATAAACTGGACCAGACAATCCAGTGATTGGTATTGTTAACAACAATCCACATCCTCTTGCCTGGTAGGTCTTCACGATTCATCGTTGTTTCATGCCACTCAGCAATGTTGCAGCTATATGATGTTCTTATGAATTTCAGCTATATTGCAGCTAGATGGTAGCATATAGATATTCAAAATGTAGAATTTGACACAACACATTGTTTTCTCTACCTTCATTATTTCATAAGAACTAAATAATGCCACACTCAGCAATGTTGCAGCTATATGATGGCAGTCTGCATATAAATTGGACCAGACAATCCAGTAACAACAATCCACATCCTCTTGCATGGTAAGTCTTGACGATTCATCGTTGTTTAATGCCACTCAGCAATGTTGCAGCTATATGATGGCAGTCTGCATATAAATTGGACCAGCATCCTGTTCTTATGAAATTCAGCTATATTGCAGCTAGATGGTAGCATATAAATATTCAAAATTGACACAACACATTGTTTCCTCTACCTTTATTATTTCATAAGAACTAAATAATGCCACACTCAGCAATGTTGCAGCTATATGATGGCAGTCGGCATATAAATTGGACCAGACAATCGTTGATTAACAATCCACATCTTTTTTCATGGTAGCTCTCGACGGTAGGTCTTGGCGATTCATCGTTGTTTGATGCCACTCAGCAATGTTGCAGCTATATGAAGGCAGGCTGCATATAGACAATCCAGTGAGTGGTATTGTTAACTACAATCCACATCCTCTTGCATCTTTGTTTTATGTCACTCAGCATATTGCAGCTATATAATGGCAGTCTCCAAATAATGTGGACAGGACCAGCATCCTGCTCTTATGAAATTCAGCTATATTGCAGCTAGATGGTAGCATATAGATATTCAAAATGTAGAAATTGACACTCATTGTCTTTTTCTACCTTTATTTTTCTTTTTTATTATTTCATAAGATCTAAATAGTGTTGCAATGTTGCAGCTCTATGGCAGTTTGCATGTTGGACAAAACAATCCAGTGATTGGTGTTGTGCATGACAATCTGTTTGATACTACACAGCAATGTTGCGGCTATATATGGCAGTCTGCAAATAATCTGAACAGAATCTGCAAATAATCTGAACAGAACCAGACAATACAGTGTTTGGCATTGTGAAAAAACATCAGCATCTTTTTGATGCCATAAATCAGCAATGTTGCAGCTCTATGATGACAGTTTGCAAATAATCTGGACTGCACCAGACAATCCACATGATTGGATGTCACTCAGCAATGTTGCAAGTTGGACAAAGCAATCCAGTGATTGGTGTTGTGCATGGTAGGTCATGGTTGTTTAATGCCACACAGCAATGTTGCGGCTATATATGGCAGTCTAAAAATAATCTGAACAGGACCAGACAATACAGTGTTTGGTATCAGTGTTTTGATGCCACAATCAGCAATGTTGCAGCTATATGATTGCAGTCTGCAATTCAGTGATTGGTATTATGAACAACAATTCACATCAGCATCAGCATCCTGTTTTAATGCCATACTCTGCAATATTGCAACTAGATGATGGCAGTCTGTACATATATGTACTAAATAATGTCAGTTGTCACACTCAGCAATGTTGCAGGTTGGACCAGTGCCAGGTTTTATAAACAACAATCCCATGCAAAATCCATAAATTCATTGATGTTAAGTGCTTCTCAGCAATGTTGCAGCTATATGATGTGAATAATCTGGACTTGCCCATCAATCCATATAATTCATTCAGGTATGATAAGAAGTTATGTTTGCTGTTTCATTGTTGTTGTATTATGTTGCAGAGCCGGTAAATATTCAAATTTGGCATACAGATTAGTATTGTATTGTCAACAACTCAGCAATATTGCACATTAATATGAAGCATTGCTGAGTGACAATACGTAAATAATTGTTGTTCAAACCATGTTGCTCAGGTACAGGTTGCTGTATTGTTTCATTGACACACTCGGCACTATTGCAGCCATGTAATGACAGGTAGTAACTATTAAATCTGGCCAAGACAATCCAGTTATTAGTTTTGTCAACAATATTGCAGCTATGCATGTGGCCAGTACACAATCAATATGTTTCTAATATTTCAATATACATGCTATACTTACATCATTAATTGCGTCCAAATCACGTCCTCTTCAACAGCTCCTATGACTCCAAATTTCTCTTGGAGAGCAGCTGGTCGCAGTGAGATGTCATCTTTGTATACTGGTTCAGAAGTTGTCATGTTTTTGGTTGTTTGTGTATTGTATGATACAACAGACCGCAATAGTGCCACAGACAGCTCCCTTTAAATAATAGTCACCAGACAGTCCAGAGATTGACATCTGTGAGCAACGATTTACACCCTTGGGGTTAATTGCCCCCCATAGGCAAATATGTGAAGCCCATATCTGGTGTCCACTGTGGTGAATATTACTGGAATATTGCTTAAAGTGGGGTAAAACAATACTTACTCACACACACTTGAAAGTATTT